GGTTCTCAAACAGTTTACCTGGATAAATAAAGGTTAAATAAATAAAATAAATTTAAAAAAATCTCCATGTGTAACACATTATGTACAGTTTTTTTTTTCTTTTTGTCTTCTTATGGCTTATTTTATTTTATTTATTTATGTTTTGCTGACAACTGTGACCTTAGTATCTATCTTTCATTCCTCATGTAGTACTCATTTGGAATGAAAATCCTTGAATTCTTCGTTTAACCTCATTAATCTGCGCAAAATTTAACTGACTCAAATATGTTTGGAGCGTTTTTTAGATCCTGCTTTATATTTTAAAAATCATGTCTAAGCATCAGTTTTGTTTTCTAAGTAAAAACATTAAACACTAATTAATAACTCAAGTAATTTATTTTGTCAATATGCAGTAGAAATGTATATTAAATTTAAGATTAATCATTATTAATCCACAGCTACTTTGGGATTAGATGAAAAATTTTTGACAGCCCGACACATTTTGTGATTTATGCCATGTTAACTTCTCTTTAAACTGTTTAGACGACACAAAAGGGAATGTCAGACCAAACATTTGTTGTAAATTTAGACCAAAACTTTACAATTAAACATTAGAAACTAAAATTATTCAGAAAATATTTGGAATTTTGCATCACAAAAAAGTGCCTAAAATCTGTTTTTGTAACATTCTCAGCAGCATATAATTCTAAAATGGTTCCGGTTCCACAGGTACCAGGATAATCTACGACAGGAAGTTCCTCCTGCAGTGTCGGACGTCCCCCCTGGCTCGCACCCCTCCCAACCTGCCCGATATCCCGGGAGTCACCAGGCCGCTGATCCCGGACTCGGCTAATGARGCAAACAAACCTGACGAGACGTCAAACAGCAGCAAGCACAACGTGCACACAGAGAACTCGGGTAAACACATCAGTTTAACAGATCTTCTGAATCTTTGTGTGTTTAACTCAACTGAACTTAGTTTTTTTGTTTGTTTGTTTTTTAGAAGATGCCCAGTTTGAAATGGACATATGAAGACCATCAGCTTCATTCACAGAGTTCATGCTGACGGAGAGAAAAACTAAATAATCATTCAAGTGACACGTCTCGTCTCAGTCAGCTGTTGTTTATCAAACATGTTCTGGAAAGAAATTGTTTTTTGTAACATCTGATTAGTATGTTAAAATGTTGTGCTTATATTATTATTAGATGCATAAATCAGTGTATTTTTATTCTGTATAACTGTATGAGCTGTGAAATGTGACAAATAAGTTTTATTAAAGTAGTATTTTAAGTAACGTATATTTAAGCAATAAATKTACAAAAGGCAATGTCAACTTATTTGAGCTTTATTTTCTGATCAGCAGTAACTAATTGTGTCCACTTGGGAGCAGCAAACAGTTTATAAAATATCCCAATTTTAGGTAAAAGATTATTTGTTAAAACTTAGTATTTACACATTAAACAAATATAAGGCAACATGAATATTTTTTACTTTCCTGTGTTCAGGAACCAGATGAATTCATTTCTGTTTCGATGTTGCTTTGATTCTCAGCTTTTGAGAAAAAGCTATTTGTCTGCCTTTTGCTTCGTTACAATAAACAAGCTGTTAATTTTAACACTTTCCCTTTCTTGTAGTTACATTTATTCTGCTAGAACTTGTTTTTCTGTTGACAGTGTCTAAATTAAGTGACCACTCGTGAAGTATTTTCATGTTTAAAACAAAACAAGTGTTAAGTATGAAGGTAAAATTTAATTTTGAAACAGTAGACCATTTTGTTTTATAGACATTTATAAAGAAAAAACCTCTATGATCTTAAAGGAAGGTTTAACACAAATCAGTTTAGGGCAAACACATGGGGTCTGTTTTAAAGCTGTAAATTTACCGTTTGAAATAGTTCAATTCCAGTGGTGGGCAGCACTAATGTAAATATTAGTGGCACTAACCCTAAGGCACRAACTCAAATATTTAGGACCTCTAATTCTAAAGCACTAACACACTGAAAAATTTAGCAAAAGCTAATTCTAAAGCACCAAGATAGCCCAGTTGACACACAAGGAACATTCTTCAGAGTCGACATGAGACTATTTACTGTGTGCAGAATGTTGTCACTGAATGCCCTTGGTGGGCCAAATGGGAGTCACCTGCAGGCCACATTTGGCCCGTGGGCCTTGAGTTTGACATGTGATCTTGTATATACACATATATGAACAAAATGTATGACAGCTTTCAGCCTCAACTGTAAATGTAATGTTGATCAAAAACATTTAAAGACCTCAGTAAGTGCTTTTAAATTTAGTTCATAAATTTAGCAAGTGCTAATCCACTAATGAATTTAAGAAATAGAAAAATCCCTAAAGCACTAAACAGGAAATTAATTCCCCTATTAGTGCTTTAGGGGAACTGTGCCCACCACTGTTCAGTTTCAATAATGTTTTTACAGCAACCTCAGCATTTATTCCGAGAAACCTGAGTTTGGCCTTTTTGCGCATTTATAATAATGCTTTTTATTTGTMAGTGCCTTTCAAGACACTATCCAYCATTAAAAATGCAAAATMAAACAATATWAAATGGCTATAAAAACWCTAAAGCTATAAACAACTAAGAGGTGAGAAGGCRAACTTGTAARTYCAAAATMTCTATTAAATTATTTTATTGTGACTGACTCAGCTATCTTTTTTTAAAGGAAAGAAGTGACAAAGCTAATAAAAACCCTTGCAACTCCTTGTCCAAGATATGAAATGTTTATTGTAATAAAATCTATGACAAACATACATATGTGTCATTGYCCCAGGCCTCTCAAAGCATCAATTAGAAACGTTATCCTAAATTAGTCTTTGTGCATTTAAAAAAATAGTTTAAGGGTATTTTTGCACAGACGTGTTTGTGCAATTAAACAGTGCTTCATCATTATGTCTTTTGAGGCCTTTTATGAAGAGTTCAAAATGAGTTTRAAACCCAGAATAACTCCATCAGCGGTTCCTCTTCTCTGTGAAGTGCCAGCATGTATTCATCCACTTGTTTTTTTATTGTCCTCAGTGGCAGCCGCATTCCTCGACCACCATGTCCTCATGGTGCCTCACCACCATCTTGTTGTTCTCAAAGTACAACAWGGAAAGTGGTGCCAGGCGTGTGGGCGCACAGGAAAGACATGGCACCTTGTCCGGGTGGTGATATGTCAACAAACTCTGAAAAGAAAAGAAAAARATCACACTGGTTAGAACACAGTTCTTCAGTTGTACGCCAAAACAAGTTAAAAACAACAAAGGTAAGCTAAAAAAAACAGTGGACCCAGAATGGATCTTTGAGGGACACCCCACATGTCAGAGGAGCTGTAGACAAGCACTATTTTCCTCAATGAACAGAACCACTGTCGGTATGCCTATGAACTAAACCAGGCAGCATAAAACTGCCAATAATACCAGCTACGTAACTTGTTGGAGTTASTAAGATATTATAATCCAAAAGCAGCAGAAATGTTTAAGATGTCTTACCTGCATGTAGGCATGGTTGGTAGGGATGAATGTCTCATCTACCGGRGTGGGACAGCTCCCCTCACAACGATAAGCGTTGAACCGTTTGGGATAGACGATCCAGTCACTCCAGTTGAGCTTCTTGAAGTCCACCCACATGTCCACCCTCCTGCAGAGACCACCTTGTCTCTCCTSTGCTGTAGCTTTACCATCCCTCTGTCTCTTTTGGGTCTGCTGATGTCTCTTCTCCCTGCTTCTCCTCACCTCTGAGGTGGGCTTCATCGGCTCCCCACCCACGCTCACATACTTGGAGTGCTCCGCTGTGTGAATCAGCGTTGCATTTTGCTGGCTGTTGAGGCCCTGCTTCAAGAAGACCACCATCATCACCCTGTCAGCGGTGGGATGCCGGGTCCAATCCTCCTCCTTCACTCTGGCCTCATCCGTCGTCCTCTTCCCTGAGGGTCCCTGCTGGAGCCAGCGCTGGAGCGTCTCCGTTATGTTGAAGACCTTCCAGGAGGAGGGTGAGAACATCAAACTGGGGTGGYCTCTGAGGCGTCCCAGGATGAGCTTGTTCTCGGAGTGGTTTGTACCAGAGTACTGGTTCTGGTTGGAGTGGTAGATGMCCACGGAGGCACTAGAGGACTGGGTGAAGGCGGGCAGGCGGATACAAAGCTCAGCCAGCTGGATGTCATCGCTAGCAGACATGGAGGAGAGGTCAAAGGTGATTGACCACCTCTGGTCAATCTGCTCACAGCCTGAAAGGAATGTGCAAAAGGAAACATTCAGAAACGAGTAGGATATAAAAAATTTTTTATCAGTAAGCTCAACAATGTTGGATGATAAATAAATTCTACTCAATGGGAACGCTTTGGTTTTATTCGTCGAACACTTCCGCCCCAGGAATTGCCGCACAAGTTGAAATCGACACAGACTTGGCACAGCCTGTCGACTGCAAGGAATTCAAGGTAAGAAGCTTCAATAGTAACATTTTATGTCTATGTTGGTCCAGCATTTGAACATTTTTGTCTYTTTCCCTGATTTACCTAACAAGTATACAGTATGTTACATTTAACACAATTTATTGTAATTCAGAACCATTCGTAGCTTCCATACCTTTCTCCACCTCAACAAGCTAGCTAACACTTGGCTAAGGCACATAAGAAACYTCCTCAATCCCCATTTATTTCATGTTATCTTGTTTTCAAAGTGTTGTGTTTTTAGTCATGGTGACAGCATATAGCTAACACCAACATGTTAATGTCAGAGGTTGATTAATTAATTGCGCTCCTACAGCTTATGATCAGAATGACATCCAACRATGCTTTGCTCAGAGTTCTGATCCCAACTTTATAACAGCTTGTCAGTATAGTGAAGGTTGTACATTACTCTTCTTTTACCAGTTTAATTTCTCTACAAATGTATATAATGACACTTGAGCARATGTAAGTTTTCCTTTAAAACCTCTCTGTAGATATGGAGTTGAAAAATATGTATTTTTTATTTCTCTACTGTAAATTAGAAGGCATAATTAGCAGTATACCTTATATGTGTGAATGTGAGTGTGAATGGGTGAATGTCTGTTAGTGTAAAGCGCTTTGGGGTCCGGAGGGACTTGAAAAGCGCTCTATAAGTTCAGTACCATTTACCATTTATAAACATTGGGAAGCAGCTAGTTTGGTGAAAAACTGTACCTGCTACGATCCCATATGATCACTGATAAACCACATTGCTTTGGTGTTATGGAGTTATTTTTTTAAAGACCAGTCACTTTCTGAAGTGATTGCTGATGGTCTGAAATCTCATTTAATACAGGAAGTGTTTCATAAGACTTGCTGCTTTGCAGCACACTGTAGACAGTGGTTTCTTTAAATCTAAGCCTCCTGTTGTTAAAAACTGCTCTGTGATCTTTACTAATATTAATTTGTTATTTTAGGCATCTAGCAACCATCAACTTGACCAGAGACCTTGTCATCTGTTGTCGGATGCTGTACCTTGGGAAATTCGCTGATCAACTTTATAAAGACTGTTATGTAAGTTAAAATGCCTGTCTTCCTCAATCTCTGCTTTTGGACTATCACCTTTAGCTTTACAGCCTAAGATACAAAATGTTCTTATTTTAGGATGAAGATGAAGACAGTGTGGCACAAGACTTTGCTGTAAGGGATGAAGGTCTACAGCATCCAGACTTATCTGTCAGAGGGTACAGAGGACATCAGTATCATGGTAGATGGAACGAAGGTCATGACCAGTCAGCGCAACTTTCCAAGGGCTTGTGCCATGCTTATGGGTGTGACTTATGCATTGAATCTTGCATACCCCAAGGAGCTCAGAAGCCTTTCAGAAACGTTTCATCGAGCTAGACTGGTCAAAGCTTTCCCCAAAACTGAACACCCTCAAAAGCATGCTACTGGCTAAACCAAAGGACCTCTTAAMACACTGGAGGACTCAAGTCTTCAAGTCTTGTTCAGAAAAAAAAATGTTATCCACACCTATTTGAAGGATATATCATACTTTGGACATAGAAAGTTGTGTTTTAAAAAGGCAGAGCTTCTTGATTACACAATGGACACTTTGCATCATTCTCTCCTTGGCACAGTTTGTCTGTTTTGATAACATGCTGTAAAAATGAGTGTATCTGAGACTGCCTCAGTGCACACATTTCTGTACCACTGCTCTGTGTGATGGGGTGTGMTAAATTGCAATTGCAAATAAATCTTGTTGACCTTTCATGGAGTACTTTTTGTTCTTGAATCTCGTGTCTCTGACCAGGTTAAAAAAAAAAAAAAACATTTCCACGACAGTCACATTCTGCACTTGGGAGAAATTTCAAGATCATTAAACTGTCCTTGCAAAAGTGACAATTTCATAAATAGCCCTGATCAACACACAAAATAAATATTTTGGCAGCAAACATATAATGTACACAACTTTTATGTTTATTTGTTCTTCAACATTTTACACAAAATTGTTTTTAAAAGGATGAAATTTTGTTTGCAAAAAAGTTACACAAATAAACGTTTGTTTGCTGTTTTTCAACATCTGGTAATTTGCTAACTCATCTTCAATACATTTTTGCAAAAAGAAGGCATGATATTTAGTAGAGTCAACACAAAATAATTACGGCAACAAAGTGACAATAACAGTAAATAGATTTTAATCCATGTGGTACCAATTCTAGGGTAATTTGAATAATTTAATTTATGTAAAGATGAATACAAATTTCAGTGTAAATGTGCTGAATTAAGTGACATTGTTCCAAGTATGAGTTAATGTAACTTAATTTATTTATTGTAC